CCCCCTCAAGTCCCCACTCCCCACTCCCCCCTCCAAGAAAAAACACACACACAAACTGGGAGAGACGCGACACTGGTGGTAGCGAACGAAAATGGAAGCGCGTGTAGGGGACAGAGAGGCACCCTCCCCCGCCCACCACCACCACCACCACCCCTTCTTGCTCACCGGTTGACAAGGAAAAAAAAATTACGGGCATATTTATGTCCAAAATAATCCAGTAAAAAAGCCTTTGATACTGCTTCAGTACCACATCCCCCACTGCAAGAAACACTTTTCTTACATTTTACAATAAACGTTTGGATTTTGTGCTAACATCTCCATTCCTTTCTTCCATTCATCCATCTTTCCTTCTTTTATCTCAGGTTTGGCAGCGTGGTCAACAACAAATTTCAATCTGAATCAAGAAAGAAACACACCGATGAGATTATGAATCTTTAAATGGCATCAAATTAAAATGGGCCAGCATTAATTGCCAAAACTAAATTACAGCGACATGCATTTTATCCCTGGCAGTATTTGAAGGCCACCCACGTAAAATGGACACTAGACACCGACACTTAATACAATTGCAGACTCGTTCTCAAAGACGGACTATTGGTGCAATTTCCACAAGCTGTATACGTCTTGGAAAGAGTGAATTATAGACCACGGGTGCTTACAATTTCCACAAACCGCCCGGGTGAAAATCTTGCGCACAGATATTAAATTATGAAATTTGTCGTGGTTAGAGAACGACCAGAAACAAAGGGTATCCAAATCAGTTGAACTGATTAAAAAGAGTGGAAAAATTACATCGCCTCAAATCAGAGCCCCTTATTTTCTGAGGCTTTCCAAACGGAATTATGCAAGAATTTATTACTTGATCTTCACACTTGCAAATGATGCCAAGGGAAAATGAAGTGTTTACAAACCCAAACTACATGGCGGGACGTATTAAGCTATGATCCGAATGAATCGTAACTCGCGTGCCAAGGAAAATGGCCGAACACCAGTGAGAGAAATTATGCAAGTTTTCTTTTCACTTCATTGAACTTGAGTTAATAAGTAATTTCTGATTTTTTGCCATGGATAAGACAGTAGGAATCGCGAATTATATAGACTGCAAAGAAGTCAGGTACTTCCTGAAACCGCTGCTTGTAGAAAGCAAAGGTACACTCAGTGTACGGCTGTTTTGCATTTAATGTATACGCATTACAATGATAAATGACTTACTTGGGAAATTTCTTGACAACAGAGTCTGCCAACTCAAAATGTCTCGTCCTGAAACAGAAAATAAATGACATTATTATTCATTCAAAATATTTCTCTGTTTCAGATTGGCTGAAATGGCATGAACAAGTCGTCACAACCAGCTACTGTCGACCAGGCCAAACTTGGAAGAAATTTGCGATATGTGAAAAATGACGTCAATTGTGGAGCATAATTGCCAGAAAAATGATCAGTTAATCGAAAAGACATGGTTTTGACTACAAAATGGCGGAATATTTCACTCGTTTCACGAGGAAAAAATAGGCGAACTAGAGTGTATTGGCTAAAAACATAGCAAGAACAGCAAGAAGACAATTCGACGTCTGCTATTTGGAGAATATTAGCAGAACTGAACAGCCCTTCATCTCCTAAACTTGCCGATAAACAGACACTATCGAAGATAAACTTAACATCGATGGAGGCAAGAGATGAATAAGCATCTGTGCAATTGCTAGTTAAGCATTGAACACAAAATGAATAGAATAAAACAAAATAAAAGGCAAAATAAACAAAAACTTATTAACACTTATAAATTATGGTTTACATATCACTAGTCGTCTCGGAGTGAGATGAGTAAGAAATTGGCAGTCCTAAAAGCCAGTAAATGGAAGGAGTCGAGCAGTTTAATAAATAAGTAAGGTATGTCTTTCTTTAAGCCTTGATTATGCCAAAAAGCATGATAAATAAAAGATACGATGTTAAGATGTTGTCGAGCACGATAAAATTTCGAATTTGGGCGACATAACTCAGCATTTCTGGCGACTTTACTATAAATTTAACCAGAGCGATAACTCTGGCCACTTTTGACCGTAAACCAACTGAAGTCTAAATATAGAGTGGTTCCCATATAATCATCTGGATCGCTTCGATTGTCCTTCTGGGGAATCCTCCCAAAATATCAAGGCAAAACTAGGGATTGGCTACTGATTGCGCTGAGTCAACTTGTGATCATGTCATTTAATCTGATCTCCCTTGGTATAACAATATTGGACCACACCATTAGCTACTAGGTGCTTCACAGACCAGAGAGTAGGTTTACAAAAACTTTAAAGAATTTACCAGTCAATTAAGCAAGGGAGTATAAAAAACTGCCCACAACTTACCTAATGAGAAGATCGTATGTGAGTCCCCTTTTCTCAAGAAATCCTTCAAGATAAACGAAGAAAACTATTTCAGGTCGAACTATCTTGCATGAAAAAATGTGCAGTGGATCTTTAACTTCTTTATGTGCGGCCACTTCACGCATGTGACCACGTCACCATGCAGTGGGAAATTAGTTTTTCCAGTCAGAGAATCATTATAGAAAGTTGGAGCTTTTCAAAAGCGACAACCAGGTCAGGCACTTCTTGCGGGTCGTTTAAGGAAGTTTCACCCAGGTTCCAGCCTGAAAATCAGCGTTCACATCAACATTGCCGATATACATATCTGGCACCACTACTATGGGAGGTTGATATTCGGCCTTCTAAGCGTAAAATAAAGGCACAATTAATTCAGGGTCAAAATGAAAATACAGTTAACTAAAGCCTTGTGGACACCTCGCCCTTACGGACGTTTCGCAAATACAGACAGCAGCTATCCCCAGGGAAAATAATAGACATTAGACTGAAAGAAGTTCCCGTTGTTACGAAAAATTTTAACTTTCTGGTACCGACATTATTATATTGTTTCACTCTCAGCGCTACAAGACACATCAGGCTCAACGTTTAGCCACACTTATGACCAGTTTAAATGAAGAAATTTGTCCCGCGAAGGGTCACTCTCCGGTCCACCCGAGCTACCCTGGTGGGGGGAGCGGGGGGGAGACAACGTTTCCCATATTTCCTTACAAAACTTGGCGAACCGTTTACATGAAAAAACAAAAATTATTTGGTTCGGCTAGACGGGTGACCCGACTAGCCGGGTCACTCTTTTTTGTAGTTTGGTCACCCTCCTGGCAGGGCCAACTATTCTCCATGTAACAAATTGGCTCGCCCAGCCGAGTCAACTCGGTTAAAAGGCCGATACACACGAGGGGTTTTGCTCCCGGAGCATGCTCCAGGCTCATTTTGCACCTGTTAGTACACACGAGGGAGCGTTTTCAAGTTCGCACAATTTGCCTCAGGAGCTTGCTCCCAAATATTTAACCGGTTGAATATCGTGGAGCATTTTGCGGGGTGGAAATTCTGCTCCCGAGAATGAAGTATACCCATATCATGCAATCGGTGGTACACAAGGAGGAGCTTTGCTCCCGAAAAGTGTGCCCCTGGAGCATGCTCCGGGAGCAAAATCCCTCATGTGTATCGGCCTAAATGCGCGAGTGCTGTTGGCTCGGGCAAAGGCCAGGGGTCAACTTATTTCCCATGCATCTGAATTACATAATATTTATATAGACAAGGGTATTGATAATAAACAGTGATCTGATAAATTTATACGTATATTAGTAATACCTAAACTTCTGAGAACAGACTCTTGTCCAAGCCAGTCATCGGGTTCGCCCTCCAAGATGTTTCTTACACCTCTGAATATTTTATGCTTATTCATGTAGTTGTCCAAAATAACATCTACCTAACATTCAGATAAATAAACACTCGCATGGAGAAGCAATGTCTTTAAGTCTTAAATGGCTAAAACTATTTGCACAGGTAGCCCAAGCTCGAAATGTAAGCGACAGCGAACATCGGCATTGTTGCATAACATTCGAAATATAAGGATTTGTATGGGAAAAAAACCTACCGCTTCCGTAACCTACGAAAATGAAAGGATTTCAATAATAACAGCTTACCTTACATAAAATGTGCCTTACGTCTCTCCTGTGTGGTCCATGGCCCGATTCATGGCCGTTTTATGGGTTGTACGGCGGGTTTTCTCTCTATACAAAGAGCTACAAAGGTAAACCTTTATACTGAGAGAAAACCGTTTACAGTACAACCCATAAAACGGCCATAAATCGGCCCATGGACCACACAGGAGAGACGTAACACACATTTTATGTAAAGTAAGCTGTTATTTATTAAAATCCTTTCATTTTCGTAGGTTACGGAAACGATCGGTTTTTTTCCCATACAAATCCTTATATTTCGAATGTTATGCAACAATGCCGATGTTCGCGGTTGCTTACATTTCGAGCTTGGGCTACCTGTGGTAATTTTACCCCAAAACAGCTTCTGACATAGCCTTCCTAACTGGCGCCAGTTTTTCACGTTCTTCAGGTGAGCGAAGGCAAGTGGGAAGTGAACGAGGAGCATCCTCACTCGCTTCGCGCATGCCTTCGCTCGCCTGAAGAACGTGAAAAAATAACGTCCGTTCTGCGGGCTGCCTCTGACAATGAATATTCTAGGGTGAGGGGTAGGGGATATTTTGACACTCTCGAAGCTTGTGTAAAAACCTTCAAAGGCAAACTGTGAAATTTTAAGCCTTTCACTCACAACAGTGCCAGAATGAAAAAAAAATCTTATGACATAAATAATAAAATAATAAAATAAGGAATAATAAACTATGGATAGGTTTGAATTTGTATGGTAACATCATAGGACTTTATCCAAAGATTAAAAAGTTAAGAGTGGTTTAGTAGTCTTATTGCCATATCTTGGCTAAGGCATGGAAGGGTTCAGGATATAGTGCTTTTAATGGAGAATGCATGGGATTAATAGGCATTAAAAATGCATTAGAAGGGCAGACAAAAACTCCCCACAAATTATATAACACATAATATATAGATTTAGCCAAGCCTAAGGGCAAAGCCACCCGTTCATAAATTTAACGTTTACTTCACACAATAAACTTGTAACCATGTATTGCAAAGAAATCCAGTTGGAGTTGAGCTTGCAATTCATTAAAAACTTGGAACTTGGCAGGCGAGAGTTGATAGTGTACACAGTCATACACCCGCATATATCTATCTGATCAGCCCAGCTGCCTAAATGTTCATACAACTGACATATATAGGTCATACATACAATGTAAAATAAGTAGTAAATAAAAAAAAATTCATATTAAGACTTGCATTTTCAGTATGGAGCCAGTGAGGCACAACTTCCTTTGATGGAAAAATATAGTAGCTATAAAATAAAGAAACTTAAACATTAAATTGGGTGTAATTGGGTGATCAGGTGGCTTGATGTCCGTACTTTAAAAAGACCAACAATACCTCAGGATCTGTCAGATCAACCCAACCAATGATTCCAACAATTGTTGAGCTTTGAGTGGCCTTCTCCAGGATCCAATCTGCATTTTAAACAAAGTTATGAAGAGCCAAAGAGCTGAGAGTGAGGATTGGGAAGTCATGAGGTAACGTAAAATTCTGACAATAAGCCCCGGGGCTTATATTTTTCAAAGGCCCTTTTGGAGGGGCTTATTTTTGGGAGAACTTATCTACGGAGGGAAATTTGCGTTTCAAAATCGATTTTACCGTTCTTGCTTTGTTTTACTTTGTATTTGCGGGCAATTTCCAAGTACAAGACCCCTCCCCCCCACCCCCCGGAGGGGGGGCTTATATTTGGAGGGGCAATTTAATGGAGGGTTTTTTGCATTATATGTTTGGGAGGCTTATATTTGGAGGGGCTTAGACATGGAGGGGCTCATTTTTGGAATTCTATGTCATAATGAGGTCAGCAGTCTGAAAAATTGGCAACGCAAGTGGCCTTAACAATGGATTAGTTATGAGTGCTCCAAATTTTAATTTACAATTATAGCCTTATATAGCAGATTCAATGAAGGTTGCTTTGGGCATTTGGAATTCCACACTGGGAGGTTTTTGTTCGTTGGTCACACAAGCAAATCATTGCATTGACTTCCATATGCCCAAATACTCAATTGCCAAAGCAACCTCTACTGAATTAGCCTTACATATAATTTATAGATAACTTTTGGTCAAAAAATTAAATTAAAACAATTTTCAGAGACAAAGTGGGGGTACCTAAGTCAGGACAACTGGTTGACCCTTCAGTTCACACCGTACGTACCAATCCCTTTACATGAGACTACATGTACCTATTTCTTACTACTGTTGACATCATTTTACAACCATTTTATTAGCCTGGCTAAACAAATTATTAACTAAATAGTTACTTGATATTACTCTCAGCCTTCAAGTGGGTTTTGAGGGAACAAGATAAAACATCATTTTTAAAAAATATGGATCATATATTTCAAATAAAACTTTAAAAATGAGCCAATTCGTATTGTGCTGTTTTAGACAAGTCAAATATTCATACTCACCCCCTAGAGGGAGATTAGAAATTCTAAGGGGCCAGCGGGGTGTCTTTAAGTGTAAGGACAAAATTTGGTAAAGGAATTGGTGTGACCTATAAACTGGAATTACCAGAGAGATGAAATGTGGGGGGATGGGGTCAGACCAACAAACACCACCCATGAATCCCCTCCCATGGGAAATTATGGATTTTTTTGGGAGCTAGACATTATTAATATTTATAGTTGCAGCTGTGGGGTTAAATTTTAGGGGTACCCAGACCCAAAAAAACACTGACTTATTGGTGGTCAGAGTGGAAATTGAAGTTCCCAAGACTTCCTAACACATCAAATCTGGCATGTTGACCACTTAACCACTGTGACAGTCTCACTTGCTCTTGATGCTGCACAAATTATTACAAGTGACTTACAGTGCCCTAATGCTTTTCAATGAAAGTACACATATTAAACTAAGACACACTCTGCCAAAAATTAATGTTTTGATTTGAACACAATGTGATTTCTGTACAATTTTTTTGAACTGTTAAAATTTGTCACCATTTTGGCACATCATTTTTCACAAACTGATTCAGACACAGCTGTTGAAAGCTAAAACATGCCAGTAAGATGCATTGCAGTTAGACACAATGACACTGGCGACCCTAAGGCTAGGAGAGGGATAAGCTTTAAGTCCCCTTTTTTCAGTTCCTGAATTTATGTCACATATATGACCTAGCCTTTGTTCAGACGTCCCCCCCTCCCTCAGTAAAAATCGGGAGAGGAGACGTCTGTGAATCGCCATCGTTAATCGTGTTCCGGTATACATTTGCATGAATTAATTCTTTGTTCTTTCCTTGACAGTTGAAAAGGCACATGTAGGTCGAAAAATGGCTCTGGCATCTGTGTACAGGCTAGCCGAACATCTTCACACAATGTTCAACCAAAAATCCAGATATAAGATCTCTGATTACAGTCAAGCCAGGTCAAGCGTACCTCCCAATCCTATTAATGTATTTATTATTCAAAAGTTGAACCGTTGGTAGTTGTAGATTTCAGATTCATCTCTGTGTGCATTCTTGCATGCGTAATGAGCCGTGAATTCACACGCGATTCAGTTACGAAATTTCTACCCGCTCAATTTCCCTGAATTTGATGTAAATGTCTTCTAAGACATTTAATCCATTCAAAGATTTTCAGTCTGACCAAATACAGAGAAGTTCTCTTAAAATATTCACTGCTCATTACGCATAGAGAAATGCCGATTTAAATTTGACACCAGTTACAGGAATGAGTCACTTTTTTTCAAATAATCAATTCAATAATAGAATCTTTTTGGGGTAACCTTGACCTGCCTTGGCTGTTAACGTTGGATTTTGTATACAGACAGACGCACCCGCAACCGCTGCAGCAAACATAGGTGGTCTTAACTTCTCATGCCTTTTCGAGAGAGCTGAAATACATTAATACTGGTAAACAAATATGAATATCCACAAAGGCTGAGCTTTTCCCCTGGGAATCTATTCTGAGGTTCATTCACCCATCAATACACGGGAAATTATTTGCGTCATGGCATTAACATAAAAACCAATCAGAGGCTGTCCCCAACATTCCAGGGAAACGGGAACACGATTATCGTCGGCGATTCACAGACGTCTCCTCTCCCGATTTTTCCTGAGGGAGTGAGGACATCTGTACACAGGCTAATATGAGCACGTTGATTTCATGATCAGCAGGATGATGGGTGTCCCAAAGAAATTTAGACTTAATATTTAGAAAAAAAAATCTCAAAACGCATTTTTTTAAATAAAATTCTTGTAGTATTGTAGTAATGTGTTCATTCAGTTAACATTTAAGAAATCTTAGGTTATAGGCACTTTAAAGGGCCAAACTAATTTGGGGGGAGAAGACAGTCAAAAATGTTTTTTCAAATACAAATGCTAGTGCAATGGAAACCCCACAAGATCTATATAAAAGTATTCATGAGAAATTAATCATTAATTAATCTGTGAGTGAGGACTTCTATTAAAGAATTGTCCCTTATTAACTGAATCAAAGTTATTTCCCAATTTACCTGTTTCATCATATGTTTGGTTGACTTGAATGAAGACCACCTTTCTTACAGGAGATGGTGCCATTGCGTCTTCAAGATCACTTAAATGAAATGGTCTACAAATGCCACTCAGATCCGCAGATGGCCAAGGATAGAAATACTTTTCGTTGTCCCATAAATCTAAGAAATATAAATCAACAAATTTGCAACTAGTTACAGTTAGTAGGTTAAAAAAATAAATAATAAACAATATATGATTGTGCTTAAAAAAAATTCACATCAATAAAAATATCCCAACAGCCATTTACAATGTTTTCAGAAACCCCTGCTGCCAACATACAGAATAACATAAAATGTATTTTTAGCCGACTTGGAAATCCATGGGAAGTTTAAATATGGACTCCCCCTACCCCCCACTCCCTTCCCAACATTGCCTTGAAAATAGGGACACGAAACAAATGTGGGTGGAAGTTGCAACGGCAGCAAAGACAAACAATAGTAAAAAGGCTAACAGTCGGCTAACAGGACAAGGCTAATCCTCCCTAATACCTCAGACTATGAGTTTTAAAATTATAGTAGCCTGCAAACTGCTTCACTTGTGTAAATTCGTGGACAATTTTGGCGGCATGAGCTGGCAAAGCTGGTGACAAGAATGGGGCAAAAAAAGGTTCATCTGCCATTGGGTTTTGAATTCCCCAATAGTAAAATGCTGACCGACAATACCCCAGACAATGAGTTTCAAAAATTATAGCAGCCTGCTAGCTGCTTCACTTGTGTGAGTTCATGGAAAATTATGGTGGCATAAGCTGGCAAAACTTGCAAGAAGAATGGGGCAAAGGAATACAAGCCTGTACATGTTCTATTGGGTTTTGAATTTTCCCTGAGGTTCATCGAAGAACCCAGCTATCAAATTTGTTAAAAGTGTCAGGCTTTGAAAGGCTAAATAATTATGAAAAAAACTAGGGACACATGACATAAACATTCACACATCACATTTGGTGATAAAGAGCATTAACAGGCCTGCAGCGCTTTTACCTCATGTGAAAATGCCACTTGTTCCAATAATTTCTTTTCTTTCTAGCAAGTCGATTATTATGCTCTGGATCCTTAATTTGGACTAACCAAATGTTATTTTTGCCGCTCGTCTCCCCTCTAAGAACAGGGCCTCCTCAGTTAGCTTGGGTTACCCCTATCAGACTACATTATGTTATGGTCAAAATCCCTTAAAACATCACGTGGTTTACATGTAAGGCAACCCAAGCTAAAAGGTGAAGAAAGTTCATTTCGTAAATCGCCCGAGGAAAAAAAGGGGAAAAAAAAAAGAAAGAAAGAGGCTCGTACAGCTGAATCTTCCTACCGTTAAGGGAAAGTTCATTTAATATGACAAGGGGGGGGGATGAAGATATTGAAACTCGAAGCTTGAAATTTTAGCAGCCCCCCTCGCTAGCGGTTCAATTTTTTAGGAGCCCCCTCCTTGGTAGTCGAAAAAATTTCAGAGCCCCCCCCCCCCTCCTCCTTCAATTCCTTTGCTCCCCTGAAAAAAGATCGCTAGACTGTATTAAATATATTTACCGTTATTGTCTTCAATGGTTTATACTATGACAAACTTGAGATACAGTTGTGATACAATTTTCTAAAACATTTTTGGGATGAACAAGAGTGTAATAATTACTGAGACTACATTTGTTATATCTGTAAACCACGTGATATAGCTGAGTTGCACAGGTCATTAAATTGTTGAGTTGAAAACCATCCGATCTGTATGATGATGTCATGTGTTGGTTTTGAAGTATACAAATTTTTGGAGCCCCCCCTCCTAGCGCAACAATTTTTTCAGAGCCCCCCCTTCGGGTGTCTAAAAATTTTCGGAGCCCCCCCTCAATATCTTC